ATCAGGCTGGATTCCGTAAGGATCGGTCGTGCACAGACCAGATTGCGACACTACGGATCATCGTTGAACAATCAGTTGAGTGGAACTCATCACTATACGTCAACTTCATCGACTATGAGAAGGCGTTTGACAGCGTGGATAGGAGAACATTGTGGAAACTTCTTCGACACTATGGAGTTCCTCAGAAGATCGTCAACATTATCCAAAACTCATACGATGGATTACAGTGCAAAGTGGTGCATGGAGGACAGCTGACAGATGCATTTCCAGTAAGGACCGGAGTCAGACAAGGCTGTCTACTCTCCCCATTTCTCTTCCTTCTAGTGATTGACTGGATTATGAAGAATTCGACATCTGGCGGGAAATACGGAATACAATGGACTTCTCAGAATCAATTAGATGATTTGGACTTCGCAGATGACCTAGCCCTCCTCTCTCATACACACGACCAAATGCAGATGAAGACAGCAAATGTAGCAGCAGCCTCCGCATCGATAGGCCTCCACATTCACAAAGGAAAAAGCAAGATTCTCAAATGCAACACGGAGAACACCGACCCAATCACACTTGATGGCGAAACTCTGGAAGAGGTGGAAACATTCAAGTACCTGGGGAGCATCGTTGATAAACAAGGAGGATCGGATGCAGATGTAAAGGCAAGGATTGGCAAAGCAAGAGCAGCATTTCTACAATTGCAGAACATATGGAACTCAAAACAACTCTCCACCAATTTCAAGGTCAGAATCTTTAATACGAACGTCAAGACAGTCCTACTGTATGGAGCTGAAACGTGGAGAACTACTACGGCCATCATCAGGAAGGTACAAGTATTTATAAACAGTTGTCTACGCAAAATACTCAACATCCACTGGCCGGATACTATCAGCAACAGCGTTTTATGGGAGAGGACAAACCAGCTTCCAGCTGAAGAGGAAATTAGGAAAAGACGTTGGAAGTGGATCGGACATACATTAAGGAAATCACCAATGTGCATCACGACTCAATCCCTAACTTGGAATCCGGAAGGGAAGCGGAAAAGAGGAAGGCCAAAGAACACACTAAGCCGGGAAATAGAAGCCGATATGAAAAGGATGAATAGCAACTGGAAATAACTGGAAAGGAAGGCTCAGGACAGAGTTGGATGGAGAATGCTGGTGAGCGGCCTATGCTCCTCGACGAGGGGTAACAGGCGTAAGTAAGTAAGTAAGTACATTTAAAGCATTGCATGAATGCATTACTCACAGTCCCTAGTTTGCAATATCATGCTGAGTGAAGATACGACTAGTTTTCAAGTTTTGCAACTATAAACCAGTAACACCTTCTATATTCGAAGCTTTCCACAACCAATTGAATTCAGAAGTCAGATGCGAAGTGATCGGAAATATATAGTTGATACGCTATCAATATGTCGAGAAGCGTTTACTCTAATCTGGCTAGTGAATGTAGGAGCTGTGTACCACGCTGGTTCGTAACGTGATCTGGTACGGATGCATGACCGAAAGCCTTCAGTTAAACAAGTCGACTTAAAACAATGTAGTCAGCATACAATGACGAACACTTAGAGAACTATTGATTTTGGGGAATTATTTACAGCTACATGAGTATCAACGCCAAGGTTGGACCTTATAGTTTCAAACAAACTAAACATTGAGTAGAAATGGATAGTGGCTAGCAGTGGAATCCAGGACGCGCGTTTCGTCCTATTTGGGACTCGTCAGCTAGATGTACCTGCATCTCAGAGTTGATGTTCACTTTGGGACTCGAACCCAGTACCCTCGCTTCAAACGCCATCGCGTTATCCACTCGGCCACTGAGTCCTGATAGCCACTTGCTTGTGCGATGGGGTGAAGTTTAAATTCAACTTAGTATTGTTTGTTTGAATCTTCCCATCGATTTGTTAGGACTGCAACTGGTCAGTCTCTGCTAACCATGCTTGTGAATTAAGGTATATCGAGGCAATACGCACAGTATGCACATATGCCAATTAGAGACTGACCAGTTGCAGTCCTAAGAAATCGATGGGAAGATTCAAACAAACAATACTAAGTTGAATTGAGTAGAAAGTTAATAACAAATATATTTTTTATATCTCACTGAGTAGAAAATTGTATTTCTGACGTTTCGTGACCTGATTTAAGCTAATACTTCAGAGTAAATAAATATCTCTGAAATATTTGTGCTTACATGTACCTTGATTCTTAGTCGCGAATGAAAATTTGGGGTTGGGTGTGCACGCTTCAATGTCACAACACTAGCATGGTGCCGTTTATGAACAGAAAAATAAATCTGTAAAATCATAGTATAGTTCAATCATACAAACCCCATTATTAGCTCGCCAGTATATCTGCACGAATATTCGGACATTTATTAATATTGATTTTATCCATTTAATAACCCTACTTCAGCAGTATCCTGACTGTAAGCCAATGTTGTAAATTATTGGTCGTGCCTGTTATAACATTGTGTGACTTATATGTAAGAAATGTATTATTATTAAAAATCGGAGCTAAACAATGTGGCAGCCATCATAATCAAAAATAAAGTAAAGCAACGTAGGTGTGGTTGTAAATGAACATGGAAATTCAGTGAAAACGTGAAGTGATAAGTCTTTTAACTAAACTTTAGGTTTGATTCCTAAGCTATTCTAGTAACTCACAAGCTAAATACATACAGCAACTTGAACACTACAGAAAAGGCACGAAATACGGACTCTTTTCTCCAAACGTTCATTCCTGTACAGAAAATCTAGGGCTTTTAGTGTATTTTAGATGGCCTTGGGTTTCCGGAAAATTCTAGAATGGTACCAAACATGCTAGTAGTATAAGTAATCATCCAATCAGAAACTCAGCAGGTGACTTTCCACTTTCTAAATGTTTCTGTCAAAACTTCTAGGAGATGCCGAGTAGATAAAATAATTCTTAGTGTTTTGAGAGCCTTTTATGGCTGTTGTTTTGAGGAGTTTTCTGGATCATTCCAGCAAAAGGTAACAAAACTACCATAAAACAATAATGGTACCATCTCAATTGAAACCAAAAGATCAACAAAATTTAATTTTGACGAGATCATGGGGAATAATGTGAAACGATGTGTACGTGGAGGGACTTTCATACTGAAAGCTCCTAAAAAGTTCCCACAAAATTTACCGATAGCCATCCTCTGTTATTAATGAATTGATTTAATCTTTTAATTTTCCAAAGTACGTGCATGTGATTTATTATGACTAAATAACATTTTGTAATCTAATTACTATTTATTATAATTTACTTCCAGTGATCGGATGTCGGTTATTATATTTTTTTATGCTCTGGGTGGATACGAGCTTGTGTATTTTGAACCCAATCAATATGCCTCATTTCTAACCTACATCACATTACTGGTCGTCACTACTCCTAAGTCGTTCCTATGGTAGATTTTTACGAATGTGGACAACTAAGGAAACACATCCGACTGGAAGAGTGTTCAGATCTGGGGTATAGAGAACTCTAAAAACACCAGATTAATGGGCAAATATAGAACTGGGAATCAAATCAGTGAGAAACACTATCAGAATAAAGAAGTAGACAGTGATGGGTTATATATCAGCAGTAACTAATCTACACCGAGGTCTACAGGAGAAGCTGTGAGTCATATGTGGAAAAATTCAAACAGTTCACTTCTACCCGAAGTTTGTGTTGTTAATGCTGTTCGGAAGAACAATGAGAGATCCTTGACCAAACAGTCATGCCCAGAGAACAGAACACCGCTCAAATCATCCACCTGAGATACGAATCTCCTGTACCATCTCAAAATTGTGTAATGTTATTTGTGTTATTACTCCTTCTATATTCTTCCTGGTGTAGGCCTTCAGTAGATCTACTAACTACCGTTATGCTCCCTACCTTTCCTTGACTGCTGCCAAGAAACTACGTACCGTCTGTTCCATTTTCTGCCATCCACAACATGATCGTACAAAAAGAAGAATTTTATATTCGGGGTGCGTTACAGCATGATCGTTAATGTACAGACTTTAGTGAATGTTTGATACAGACGTTGAGTGGCTGGAATATAATGTCAGAGACTAGATATCTGTCATCTGCTTTCAGGCCCATGATTAGGAACTGGGGAACTAATAGGAGATAAACATACGTTAGATCAAAGTTACTCGCGTACTGCTGTCGAAACCTAAGGATGCTTGGATAAAGACAGAACACCGAATATAAGGATACAAACGGTAAAGCGACAAATATAGTGTGAACTCATAATGTTTTCGATTGTACTCGCACACTACCATTATTGTTAAGCTACAAGGACCCTGGAAAACATCCACACTACCAAAGAACCGTCACTTTCACTGGTAAATATTACTGAACGTTGCCAAAAATTTGCACTAAGAATCCTAGTGAGGCTTTCCCCTGCAAAAAGTTACCAGATATCAACCTACGTCTTGAGCTTAGTTGATTTATTACCACTCATTGAGATAGGGGAGAATCTAGATGATTGCATTGGAGAAACAACTGACGATAACGCAAAAAAATTAGTAAATTAGACGTGATTAGAAAGATAATATCACAATATAATTAAAAATATAGAAAAATCTGTTATCTTGGTAATCCGGAGATAGAACAATCGGAGTCTACGTAGCTAACAGAAGAGTGAACTTAGAACAATCAGCCAGTATCATTAAAAGCTCAGATGGAAATCTGGTTTTCTTATAAAGACGGTACCCTGAACTTTCTCTGAACACAGAGTAGAGAGAAAAATTTAAATCTCAATTTTTCCGATCGTAGTTCAGTGCATTTTACGGTGGTCTCCTAGACTAGTAGTCCCGTAAAGAAGAGAAGAAATAGAAAGCATTGACTATAAAATTAGTATCCATGTATTTTTAAAGTTTATTGATCACATGATTAGTGGCCATGTTATTCTCTTTGGGTGTCTCATCTTTATTGTGATGGTTGATATTCTTGTTTAACCTTGTTGATTCACCATGAACTTAAACATCGCGCACCATTCAGTTGTGTTCAATGGGCACTCTTATTTTGCGTTGTTTCCTCCTAAATCTGGTATACTGTTTGTTTGAAAACCTAGCCCTATATAATCTATGCGCTTTTGCTCAAAATGGACTAGTCATACCTTTTCTTGATAACCATCCAACCTCAAACGGTAAGTAAACAAGTATTCTTATTTTTAGGAATAATATATTTGTAAAATCTCAGCGAATGAATTTGTAGTAAATCCAACGTTTCGCCTGGCAATCTGGTCCAAGCTTTTTCAAGGAATTCCTTGAACATTGGACCAGATCGCTAGGCGAAACGTTGGATTTACTACAAATTCATTCGCTGAGATTTTACAAATATATTATTCCTATTTAATGTCTTACATCAACTCGGCGCTCAAATACTGTGAAACTGTTAGCTCTAATTTAGACGAGAGTTGTTATATATTCTTATTTTCGTCAGAAATATGTAAAAAACGTCGTGTTGATGTTTGAAAAAGATAACCGCAATAATGAGTTTTCTTTGAAACGAACGATGAATGTCTTGATTTCTCATTAGAAAAATGGGGCACGTCGCTTTCCTCAGAACAATACTTTTATTCATTTTAAGTTGCATAATATAATTTTTTCTAGCGAAGTTGTAGGCAGTAAAATAATGTGGCAGAATCGGTGTTCGAGCCTGCTTGACAGGAAATTGGATGCTTGTTGTTTTCTACCTACCAAATCTAGGTTTTAATATATAGCGCACATCGCTTTAAGTAATTTTAATTCTTGAAGTACTGTGAGACACGTATTCCACAATGACGTTTGCAGAAAATCAATAATAAATGAATAAGAACTTTTGGTGGTACATCTTGAGAATCTTTTGGAAGTGATTGCTACTTCAAAAATAAAAAAAAACTTGGTCGAGACTATAATTTCTGAACAAGACAATCAGGATTTAGATTTCGGCTCGAAGTTCTCTCAACCATTTGAATAAATAGTGTTGGCACTGTGCCGATGTCAGTTCTTGATGAAAATTCGAAATCTAGTTTCCAAGCTTAATCATTAACTGTAAATCAGAATTCTTATTCCTCACACTGGTTTTAAACCTTCATTTGGTCCTGGTTATTAGATGGACACTCCCAAGGTCAGTCTAGCGTCGCTCAAAGGTCGTCCATAAATTATAGTCTCACCAATTCTTGCACATGATATTTAATTTGTAATATATATACTTTGACCCGACCTGTCTATACACTGACTTCATATTGTTCAACTCCAAAAGCTTGTAATCGCTGAGTAGCTACTGGCGTGACAGTCCATGTATCAGTGTCTTACTTTTCATTCATCATTGGCAACACATGCAGAATGAACTTCCGTTTGCAGAATTTTCCAGAAAATTACTAGAATAACTGTAGTCGTATTACAATTTTTTTCTGTTATGCAGCTAACTGCGAGCATGCTGTACGGGAAATTCAATACCAAATAGTGCAAAATGGGAAATCAGAGAGAGAAAAATCACCAGACAACTCTTTATTTCTAAGCAATAAAACATCTGCAAACCACCAGTTTTTTGGGACTGATGAAGACGGGAGAATTGTGTCTGCATACATTCCACAATGTCGTGTAGACCGACCAGATTTATATGTTGCTCGACAATGTAATGAATATGACTGCTTTTGTGTCAATGTAACCACTGGAGAAACACTATTGGGTACACGTGCCAGCCCTGTTGAGGTTGGAGATTGTTCTACAGGTATGCGTATGAGTAATCGGTGGTTTGAAATTTTTCTTGCGACTTATTCTAATAAAAATTTAGATCATCTTAGAAATCAATTGGCAGTCAGTCAGTCAGTCGCAACGTAGAACTTCGTACGTACGTACATCAGTTCGAGTTGCCATACCACATTAGCACAGAGATGCAGTTGTCGATTCAAATCCCATAGTGGTAGAAGTAGTAGGAGTATAATCAGAAATCCAAAAGATTAGGGTTTGAAGAAATTATTGAAGGAGTATAGTACAGTGAAATAAATTTAGAAAGAGAAAAAGATAAAGACATGAGGAATTCAGAAAAATCTCAGGGGTCAACCTGTCAGGGCCTGCTGCTCTCTCTCGCTTCAGATTTCCTATAGCTTTTTCAACCTCGCAGAGGGTTAGAGGACTTACATCATTTTGCCATTCAGGACGACTGGGGATCGTGGGTAATTGAAGTTTGGCTGAAGGCCAGTTGAACTGATCCCTAAAGTGTTCTGCCCATCGATCCAATCTCCTGGATTGAGATTGAATGAGATGCCCATCTTTATCTGAGATGGTTTCACTGATATTCGGGTTCCTAATACCGGTTTCTTTAACGAGTCTGAATAGCTGCCTACTGTTACCTATTGCCGCTGCCTTTTCCATCTCTCTTGCTTTCGCTACCCACCACTGTTCACGATCATTACGTAGGCTTCTTATAAGCCTGCGCTTAAGTTGACTCCGCTCTTCGTTATGTTCAGAGCCAGGTGGGATGAGTTTACGAGCATCTATCAGTGCGGTAGATGCTGCCGAGATCCATTGTTTCTCCCTAACGTTATGGTTTACCTTACTAGCAGATATCACTGCTGTTTCCACAGCTTTTCGGATGTCATTCTACGCTGCCTCGGGGTGGACACAACTTACATGGCTGCCTAACTGTTTTTCTAGTTGTTTCTGAAATATATTCTTAGCTTGCCTATCATTAAGTAGAACCCTTAGAGGCTTCCCTGCAGTGTCTTTCCTACGACCAGTAAGACGCAGACAGATACGTGCTCGCACTAGAGCATGATCTGAATCTAAACATGTGCCCCAGAATGATCGACAGTCTTCTATCGAGCCCTTCCATCGGTGGCTGATAGCGATGTGATCTAATTGGGTCCAACGTTGGGACGAATTCGGGGGTCGCCATGTCAAAAGATGTTTTTCCTTATGCTTAAAGTTAGTATTTGCAAGAAATAGGCGGTTATCTGAGCATAGCTGCAACAGACGGTCGCCATTATCTATTCTTTTCGCCATGACACCATAAGATCCACCCAGGTGTCTTTCCCTTTCACTTAGTTTACCTACTTGAGCATTAAAGTCACCTGCTACTATTACTACATCAGAACGCCTAGCTTTTCGAAGAAGGTCAGAAAGTTTCCTGTAGAACTCATCTTTTATATCGTCTGAGCTGCAGTCAGTGGGAGAGTAGGCAGAGACGACGAAGAGGCAACGACGAGATTCCCTATCTTTCCGGGTCCTTACTGTTCCGTTTAGTCGGACAGCGCATAGACAACTGTCTACTGGGATTCAGTCTAAAAGAGCTAGTTCTGCCCTAGGACTTAATGCTATACCTACTCCAGCAGCATCAGGGCTTCCAGATACACGAAGCGTGTATCGAGATGAATCTTTATTTTGATTAGGTGAGGTCAAATGAATGACGCTACTCGGATCTTGTATGCGCGTTTCGGAGACGCGGCACACATCGATGGTGTAAGATTCTAGAGTCCTAGCTAAGGAAGCCTGTTGTCCTATTTGGCACAATGTTCGGACATTAAAAGTTCCTATATGTAGTTTAGAGCGTGGTTTCAGGAGACCAGGAATAACGTTCTGTGTACTCGAATCGTTTGCCCTAGCGGTGCGAGGTGATAAAAGGACGTGGGAAGGGTTAGTCGAGGAGATAACAGAGTTATTAGGTGTAGGAAGGATTTGAAAGCGACCAACTTGGTCTTGTGTGCAGTTAAGGGTATGAGGGCTAGTATCACTTCCCGGCTGCCCACACCGTGGAAGGGTATTTCTTGAGGGACCTGAAAAAGAAGTTGGATTAGTATTGGTCTTAACGACCTGGGAGCGTGACCACAGTGCCCAAGGGACAACTACTTGAGGCCGGTCACGCACGGCCTTTTTGTGGGGGATTTTTGGAGTGTTAGCTCCGTTCTTCAAAGGACCTTACCGCCGGAGACGGAAATCCGTGGGATAAGGCGAGGTGTGCATTTTTAGGGTCGACCTTTTCTAACCCCACCCCTCCTTGTGGGAAGGCAGCATCGCTGTCATGCTGGTTGTCTGAAGGCAGCACCTTACTGCTTTCACACCTCTGTACAGCCAGCAGTACGACTTCGCTTTCGGACCTTGGGTTTGCTGCTTTTAGTCTCACCGCTCTTCAACCGACCTGTCTGGCATGGTAGGACCTTGAGGAACGATTGTTCCAGCCAGCATAGCTCGATTGGATCATCACGATAGGCAAGCTCGACCACCACGTCAAGGTAGCAGCAACGGTCGGGCGGTTTTTTTGATATTAGTGTGACGCTTATCGTTTTGTTTAAGTCTTCATCATTCATACATAGTGAGATACAGTCAGCCAACTTTTATCTACGTAGAACTTGGCATATGTGTTCATCAGTTTAAGCTGCCAAACCATATTACCAGAGCTTGGTGAAATTACCAAAATGAATACCAGAATATTAGAAGTATTATTAGTATCAGTGGTAGTAAAAAAGTTGAACATACACGATATGATTCGGGAAGAAAAGATGGATTCGTGGAATAAACATAATATGTCACGTCTTGGTTTTGCAATCCCTAATTTTATTTCAACCTACTTCCACGTGGTGAAACTGCCAAATACGTGCGTTTTTGTTTGTGAAGAATTTACAGTGAAAATTTAATAAAGGGGTTTCTTAATTTTTAGATTTTTTTAGGTTTCGTGTTTGCTTTTACATTAATGTGCAAAATATGTATCTTATTGTTTACCATAACATATTTCAAATGTGTTAAGAAAACCAGGGCAAATTGGCACGAAGTATGTTACACCGCAAATAGACAGAAGAACGTCTCGCCTTTTCTTCACGTGACACGTCACAAGATATGATGGGCTATGATTCGAAATTCGAAAAAATGACCAATAAGTAACTAGATCAGTTAACCCTCAGTCATCACTTTTCACTATATGGAACTCAAGCGTATATTCCACTACAAAGTTACGTTAGTTCCATCTTTTTAACGGACTTTCCAGATAGTAACCAGTGTCATATTTTACTTTTCAGTGTGATTCAGAATCTACAATCTGCTTATACTAGGAGCTACACTACTTGTTGAGACTGATCACTACCCAGTAACCGGGTTATGTAGATTACTAATTTGCTGTGGTGACGAGTTTTGTCTGAATAGTTTAGTGGCGGTTTCTGAATGTGAAGATTGATGACTTGTGAGGGTTTCCTTAGAAACATAAGTATTTATTTTGACTAAATTAAGCGAGCAAATAAGTTAGTTGTGGTTCCCTTCAAATATTTAAAATGACCATGTACCCAATACTTCGAGCTGTATGGAGAATCTGTATAGTGTTATGGAATATAGTGGGAACCTTAGTGGTTTATCTGTTACCATTGATTGATTGCTTAATCTGTAATCTATACGTCTTGTTTATTTGCTAAACTCTTTGCATATTTTTTATTTCAACGATGAAGATTGTAACAGCTTAATTTATTATAATGATTTAATGAACTCATAACTGACTAAACAACATATTTCAGCACAATTTGTTGGTTCTCTAGGTTAGTCCATTTTTAATTTAACGTTTTGTTTTTGTAGCTAAAGGTTTAGTAACTATCCCTATGGTTACTAAGGCAAATGATTTGTTCCAGTATCTATAGAACTTGGTACGGACTGTTGATTATCGTATTAAGAATACTGAATTTCTATATAATTGACTGAGGCTTACTGGGAATAAAATGAGAATCTTAAAGTAGGATGTGAGTAAACTTCCTGTATGTATGAAATACGATCCCAGAATACTATAACCTTAAGGTATTTCTCTTTGTGTTTTACTTCAGCTGTTTATTCAGTCTTACTTGCTTTACACCTGCGAAGTATCCTACCGACTTCCGTTGTTGGTGAGCCGCGTCAACAAAGTTCATCTGAGACTGGTAATGTTGATAGTATGGTATGGGATTCCGATGCCTCCTTAAAGTCACATATAAAAAATAGCATAGAAAGAATTTTACGTTCAGCTGTTGGATTTCAACAAGTAACAAAGGTTACGCGCATATCCGCCACTCCAGATATCCAAAATTTGCATAACAATTCGGAATTCGCATACTATCAAGTGCAGCTGACCTCTACTGGTCACAGCTCTTTGCAAGCACCTCAAGATCTTTTGGAAAATCGCCTTCACGAAGGGTTTTTATCAGACGTCGGTGCTGTTGATCCACGTATAAGCCATGTAAAAGTTTTAGAACCTAAAATTCCAGGTAATGACTTCAGTTAAAGTTAGTTTGTGATAAAAGGTATCTTTTAAGTATATATGTATATATATATGATTTAAACTATCGTTTAAAAAAGCTGTAGGCTACATAGGAAGTGTTAAGCAATATTCTACTAAGAAAAAAACTATTAACCAAGTGATACTGTTATAAACGGAAACAGAGGTGGGGAGGACCAATGTACTTTAGTGTAAAACTATAGAATGCTTTGGCAAAATATGAGAACTATATATTGAATAAGACATTTAATAGGAATAATATATTTGTAAAATGTCAGCGAATGAATTGAAAGTAAATTCAACGTTTCACCTGACAACCTGGTCGAAGCATCTTCAAGGGAATATATCTATCTATCTATCTATATATATATATATATTGAATACTTTATTTGCAAATTTCCATAATCTGTCCTTCACATTCATTACGATTCTTCTAGTTCACAATTCCTTGCTGTTTTCCCTTCTATCCTCTTCAACTCTATCTTAGCCTTCTGCTGTCAGGGTTTCCACTTCTGATTAGTGTCACATACTACTTATGTCTGTTGATATAAGTAACATACACTACAATACCAGCGGATAGTTTTTATTAAGTTAAACTTATGTTTGTGTGTACATCCTAATGTCCTTACTCTGTTCCTTAGTTATTACTTTATAAACCCATAATAAGCATAAGAAGAGAGATGAGCACAAATAAAAGCATATATATTTTTTCGGTTGATAGTTTGACTAAGGTAAGTTAGTTCCACTTTGAAAAATCTTGATTTAGACTGCCATGAATGTTCACAAGCTTTCTAAAATATACTCTCAGATTACTGATTTAATATTAAGGGGTTGTGAGTAAAACAGACGAAAACAGTATATTTCTGTTTCAGGGACTGCGAACTAGAATGCCTTTATCAAACATTTTAAAGAAATCGTGTACATACAACACGACTTCCCAACTTTCATTATATTTTAGGTTCTTTTAGAATAACATTTCTAGGAACCAATGTTAGACATGGGGATAAATTAATTACTTTACAGATCTAAGAGACATTTTATAAGAATACTTTTACTGCTACACACAAACTGTATATGTGTCCCTACTAAGCTATGCGTTATGGACAGTTATGGGTCAAAAATAAGCACCAACCTCTGAATGCTCAGACCTAAGTAACTGGTTTTTCGTCATCTAATAATAAAAAAACAGTTTGGTAAGTAAACTAATGAGTTACTATACAAATCCGATACTAATTACTACTGGTGCCCACATGCTCCTAAAAGTTAACTTGATGCACTCATTCAGTTCCGTTAGATGTAGGTTTATAACTCAGGAGAGAGATTTTTATTTTGTATTCTGATCTATGTCATCAATAGTTTAATTGCTCCATTATGTTTGAAATAATCTGTGGTGATTGATTTGTGTTCTTTGTGTAAGAATTGTCTGTTATGGCACTTAAAATTATTCATCAGATTGATGTTAAGTATCGATTTTGCATGAAATTCATAATATTTCATTGTAAACACACAATAACCACAAATACAACTTAATAACAAACTGTTCAAGGTTTCTCTAAATATTTGTCATAAAGCGACCATACCACGTTAAAAGCAATAGTTCTCGTTCGACCACCGCGTTTAAGCAACGTTGGGCCCGGTCAGTATTTATCCTGTTTCGGTTTGGGCAACCGGGCAATATCACAGCCCACATACAAATCAAGTGACTTATGTGGCGCATATGTATTCTGTACCCCTTTGTGCCAGTATTTATGTGTATTCTGTGCAATCGAATTTCCCCATTTTGTCGACACTTCACACGACTGAATGACCAATGCAGAAGTTAGGCATAAGGTAACAAAAAATTATGGCAAATAGGTCGATATGCTTGTGGGTATTCATCGACTGAGGTAGCCAAGGTTTGTGTTACGTACTCTTAATCACTACTTACCACGATATACAATACTCCTCGGAGTAATGATAAGTTGGAGGAAAGCCAAAAGTCACCAAACAAAGGTTTGACATCAGTCCTTGAATTCACTGACAACTGTGTCGAGCCATGTTGTTGGATGCAGACTACCTAATCGAGGTCCTCATGATTAGCGTAACTAGCTGTTGTAGTTGTTGAGTGACTGCTTAGAATCGGTCATGGTGAAGCAGATGCATTCACTGTCTTCCATTAAATCCTGAGTTCCGAAATTTCTTCACCTCTTCTCTTCGAACCACATTCATGGTGCTTAGTCTTTCTCATTATCGTTGCTGTCGCATTATTCTAACTCTTTTAGATCTTATTATGTTAACCTCATCTCGTCATGTTAGTGAGGTGTAATGACTTGAGCTAACACACGTTTGTTCTAGTCTGGATATTGACTACCATTAATCGAATGACTGTCCTGAAGGTTTAATTCAATTCCTTTGTTAGTGAGATCGATTGGTTGCTTGTTTTTGTCTTCTCTTGTCTTCTGTTTTTTCTCAGAAGTCATTCAGACTCGAATAGTGAAGAATTTCCCTAGTACCGTAACTAATTACGATATATAGAAAACTACTAGTTTCATTTATTAGGTAGTAGACTCAAGTCGGCGTTTCACTTGTTCAGGTGTGGTCAACCGAGTTGTATCATTAGCTCTTACGTGTGGGGTGTCACTGAAACTGGAGCAGACAAACCTGTACCTAGTTACTCAGTTACAATTTATTATTACCAATGTGAATAAATATTTTCGGAATTTATCTTAAAATTTATTTCTTCTTTATCCACACGTCTTATCTATGCAGACCCAGCACCTTTAGCATCTCATGAATCTGAAGATTTATTATCAGACAAACAAGTAAGCTAAAATGTTGTTTCTATTTGCTTTTAATGACTCGTTCGATTTTGTAGATTTAATATTATTGTTAACCTTTCAGTAGTAGCCTAGGAGGCGGAAAAAATAAACCTACTAACTCCAATATACGTTCATTTGTTGTGCTTTCGGACTCACACTTTTGATACACAAGTCGGTGAAAATACTCGGTTACTCAAACAGAGGCCTATGAACTAAGTTTAGAATCCACAATCCTTGAAATACCAAGTCCACTATTCCATTTTAGTCATTATCTTGAATATAACTTCCTTATGAAGGAAATATCATCTAATTTTTCATAAATTATCTTTCATCTATCAGTCTACTAAAAGCGTCAGCTAAATGAAATAAAACTAAAATGACCCGAATCAATCGTTTTTTTTCTTTTTGTTTGTATCCTCACGTATTGTTAAATCGGGTTTTAGTTATTTAGCTGGACTACATGAATAATAATAATAATAATAATAATATTACCAATGACTGTAATAATGATAATAAATCATAGTCCCTACGATAAACTTTATTAATTTCAAAGGTTGACATAACAGTTAATATTTTAGCTAAATTGTTATCTGCCTAATTATTGCTACTTCCGACTTCACACGATTATTAAATATCTTGATTTTTAGTGAATATAAATAAAATTCAATTTTCAATGTTTTATTTAGAATAATTTTGATTTTTCTGAAAATGAAATGCCTCAACAACAACACCAACAGTCTAAATCTTCAATACCATCAGTTGGGCATAAAATGGTTGCAGTGAGAAGTTCAGGTAAATATATATATATATATATATATATATATATATATATATATATATATATATATATGCTAACCTTTACAGTTACATTTCACTCTTCACAATAATCTTCATTGTAATATTCTTTATGCCTACTAAGCTTATTATTGAACATGTATTTTTGGAAAAAAATCTATAAAATTTGTCTGTAAAGATGTATGTTTGTTTTCTCCATTTTTTCAATGTCTAAGAATTTTACAGCCATGTAGGTAGGTGAAAATTATCTGTTTGGGGTTTGTGCGGTTATGGTAACCAGTGGTTAAAGACTATGATATGTCTCAACATGGTCGTCGGTAGTGGAGGTCCATTCACTCTTTATTTGCATTTAGATTCGAGGCTTTAAAATCTTATCTTTCTCTTCACACCTAGTCTTTTCTATCACTATTTGTACTACTAGTACTACTATCACTTCGATTTCTTTTGATAATTTTATCTCACTGTGCTAATGTGGTATGACAACGTGAACCGATGCAAATGTGTTAGGTTCTAAATTCCATATGACAGACAACTGTTTTCAAAATCCTTTCTCTATATTTAGGTATAAAATTCATATAAAGGTCATGACAGTAGATTTAAAAACAAACGTTTATTACCAGTCCAATTCACTGAAAACTTTTTAGCATAGAATTTCACATTGACATTAATTTCTGACTTATGCATATCCGCACTCCAAGTCGTTGTTTCTCTGTAAAGGATATTTTTGTTTCTAAAAAAACTATCAATAGTCTTCAAAATTTTAGTATGTACTCATTCTCTTTAATTATCCGAACTGACAAACATAGTAGTTAGATACAGCAAGCAGACGAGTGTATAAAGTCTAAGGAAAGTAAAATCCAAAACCATAAGTCATGATTTTTTTTTCTGTATGAATTTGCTGCCTTGTTTCAAGTATGGATTGTATCATCATAGCCCAATAGTCTTATTCATGCACACTTATTCAAACGACTTTCCAGTTACTTGTATTATTTTAAGAAGCATTCAGATATCTTTCGTTTCTATCCTTTTTTCATTTTATGACTTCTTTGTTCGTAGAAATAGGCGAAAATTCCTATCTTGGTTCACACGAAGCATCAAGTTTAGAATCTTTAGGTCCTAAGTCATCATCATCCTCTGAAAACGTTGCGCATAAACTTGGACCTTTTGAACTGAATGTTTTAAGCGGCAGTGTACCAGCTGTACGTCAAACATCAATACATAGTAGATCACTTCATCATTCGTGGAATTCAGGGACATCAACATCAAAGATTTTAAGTCAACCTGGTGTAATAGCTGGTAAGTATTTAATATCATAACTAATTAGTTTGTGTTATTAGGTAGTATACGACTGCTTATAGCATGATTCCATAGTCTATGCAATACAAAATTTTACTGTCGCTGATCATTCTTCATATTTATTTATTTATTTTTGATTTAGTCAAAACCTACTAGCAATATTAAAACTATGTATGTTTAATTCCGTCGTATCTTGTAGTGTAATTACAAATCTTTGAAGTTTTATTCGTTGTCTGGGCTGAAATGTCCATAGTAGTAACATTAGTACTAGTAATAATGTTAGTTTACTGTTCTACTTAGATATTATAAAAGGAATTATATAGTAAATTTTCATTTGTACTAATCTATCAATTAGTATATGTAGAAAATTTCAGGCTGTCTAGTTGGTTGCTTAAACGGAAGTAGGTGAATGGGGGGGTGTTCAAACTTGTGGATCAGTAGCTGGAAGCCGAATACTTTAACTATGGATCAGAATACTACATTATAATGTACAAATCTTCGGGATATTTCGATTAAAACGCCTTACTTATTGTTTAAGTTATTTACTATTATGTGTTGTACTCATATGTTTGAGAAAGGCAGTTAGATGATAAGTACTTTAGTCGTAATTGACCGCTATTCCTATGTTTTTAGCTTGGAAACCTAGTGAAGTTAATTAAATATTATCGTATGTATATGATGTAAAATAGGATACAAAAAATGTCGTGAGTTATTCAGTGCACATATGAAATCCGTTGCAAAAATCTTATAACTTGGATATTGAAATTTGTTGGTAGCAGTTGTTAAGATTGTATCTTATTCGAAATATTCTATTGTGTGCATATCGTTTTGGTTAGATTCGCTAAGGTAAATAACCTGGAATTCAAGAATTTTGATGTAACATCACATGTTTGCTTAACAACTGGACTATACATTCATCTAATTACACAACTCATAAATAATCATAATATTTCGTACATAAATTCTGGGTTCTTTTTAAAACAAAAGAATTTAGTTTTTTGACACTGAACGGATTGATTGATCAGAATTTCTTAAATTATTTATATCCATAAAGTCTAAGAAATTCGCCCAACCGTTGCTGCTACCATGATATGGTGGTCGGGCTTGCCCATCGTGGTGACCCAATCGGGCTATACTGGCTGGAAAAATCGTTCTACAAGGTCCTACCATGCCAGACAGGTCGATGCAAGAGCGGTATGACTAAAAACAGCAAACCCAAGGTCCAAGGGTGAAGTCGTACTGTTCACCGTACAGAGGCGTGACGGCAGCAAGGTGTTTCCCTGAGACACCTAGCATAACAGCGATGTTTCCTTCCCGCAAAGGCAGTGTGAGAATAAAGCCACTGTATTGTCTTTAGGTATAAACGATAAGGACTTGTTTTCAAGATCAAATACAGGTTTCTTCAACTTTTAAAATAACTCATTACATATTAAGACTAATTAACATGTGTACTTATGTCTCTCGGTGCTCACTATGACAGAACAAATGGTCTTTCGAATTTAGCAGTAAGCCTTAGCCAGTTGATTTATTTATTTTATTTATTTAAACACATAAACATTGGTACAAGAAGGTACCAAACAGATATGCGCCACATAAATCATTCTGTTTGTGTGAGGGCTAGGCTACTGTCCGGGTGCTCAAACCGAAACAGGTGGTTTTCTTAGGGGGCTACACCCGGAGCCTTCGACCCCAAGGTCTAATGCACAAGGCAGTGGAGCATCGTGAAGAGATGCAGTGCCGTGGTAGCCGGTGACCAACGATTGGTTCATACGCCACTTGTTCCTTCAGGATCCTGGAGCCCATAGGAACCATTGGTTCGGAATCAGGATTTTCCCACCCCCTGGGTGGATTTCCCTTATCCACCTACCCAGTTAAAGCGCCGGACATAGGCTTTTCGTCCTATAACACACCTGCCGCGAAAATGCAGTGAGTAAGACTTCCGTGGCATTAGTCGTATGCACGTGGCCACGTGAAAGCATTTTGAGAGTGAGAGAAAACTCTCCACACTCTCGGCCGTATCAGGGCATTTGGTGGCTTTGATCATTCACTTGACCTCACGTAACCCAAACGGAGAACCGACGAGATACATTCTCCGTTTATCTGGCGACCTAATGACCAGTTCCCGTGGACTCTGATCATGCTCTAATACGAGCGTGAATTTGCTTGCGTCTCACTGGACGCAGAAAACCACATTAATAAGATCTATTAGAGTTGAAGTCGATGACGATAAAGCCAAAAGTAGATTCCAGGAACAACTGAGTCCATATCTAGGCAGTTCTGTAAACGAGCCGGACCCAGATATACACACAGTTGTGGAAACGGCAGCGACATCTATTAGTGATTTGAACCTGTGTCATGAAAAAGCAGTAGGTTTCTACTAAGTCTATTGCACTAATAGATTCTCGTAAACTCATCCCATCAAGCTCTGAACACGATGAAGAGCAAAAACAAATCAGATCTAGGTTAACCGAAAGTCTACGGAACTATTGTGATCGGTGGTGGGCAGCGAAATCAAAAAAGATGGAAAAGGCAGAGACTGTATGTAACACCAGACAACTCTTCAGACTAATAAAATAAACCGGAATTAAGAAGTCAATTGTAAGCGAGACAATCTCGGAAAAAGACGACACTCCTAACTGCTCTCAGCCCAGACGTTTAGAACGATGGGCGGAACACTTTAAGGAGCTGTTCAGCTGACCTTCAGCCACTCTGCAACTACCCACCATTCCCAAACAACCAGAGTAGAACATTGAAGTAGGTCCCCCGACCCTACTTGAAGTTCAAAAGGCTATAGCTAATCTGAAACAAGGGAGAACAACTGGTCCAGATGGATTAGTTCCAGAGGTCTTTAAGTATAGTGACCCAGTTTTAGCGATTAGATTGACTAATATTTTAGCTAAAATCTGTTACTTGGACGTAATCCCATCTGACTGGTCACAATCACTGATTGTCCCAATATATAAGAAAGGGTTAAATTCATCCTACGATAACCTTAACGGGATTAGTTTGACTAATATAGCATCTAAAATACTGACTTACTTACGCCTGTTACTCCCAATGGAGCATAGGCCGCCGACCAGCTTTCTCCAACCCAATCTGTCATGGGCCTTCTTTTCTAGTTCTATCCAGTTCTTGTTCATTCTTCTCATGTCTGTCTCTATTTCTCGGCGTAATGTGCCCAATCCACTTCCAGCGCTTCTTCCTCTGCTGGAATCTGATTTGTTGTCTCCCACAGTAACTTGTTGCTGATAGTGTCTGGCCATCAGATCCGAAGTATCTTGCGTAGACAGCTATTAATAAACACTTGTATCTTCTGGATAATGGCTTTCGTAGTTCTCCACGTCTCCGCCCCATACAATAGAACTGTCTTGACATTTGTATTGAAAATTCTAACCTTGGTGTTGGCTGACAATTGTTTTGAGCTCCAGATGTTTTCCAGTTGTAGGTATGCTGCTCTTGCTTTGCCGATCCTCGCCCTCACATCTGCATCTGATCCACCGTGTTCATCAATGATGCTTCCCAGATATGTAAAGGTTTTCACATCCTTCAAAGCTTCTCCGTCAAGTGTAATTTGATTGGTGCATATTGTATTATATCGGAGAGTCTTGCTTTTCTCTTTGTTTATATTGAGACCTACTGATGCTGAGGCTGCTGCTACACTGGTCGTTTTCTCCTGCATTTGTTGTTGCGTTTGTGATAGAAGAGCCAGGTCATCCGCGAAGTCTAGATCGTCAAGCTGCATCCTGCCTGTCCACTGTATCTCGTGATTTCCTCCAGATGTTGACGTCTTCATAATCTAGACGATGACCAGGAGAAAGAGAAAGGGTGAGAGTAAGCAACCTTGCCTAACACCGGTCTTTACTTCAAACGAGTCGGTGAGTTGTCCTCCGTGGACGATTTGGCAGTTTAGTCCATCATAGGAGTTCCGTATGACATTGACTATCTTCTCAGGCACGCCGTAGTGTCGAAGAAGCCTCCATAGTGTCGTCCTGTCCACGCTATCAAATGCCTTCTGGTAGTCGATGAAGTTGATGTAGAGTGATGAATTCCATTCGATTGATTGTTCCACAATGATACGTAGAGTTGCGATTTGATCTGTGCACGATCTATCCTTACTGAATCCAGCTTGTTGATCTCGAAGTTGGGCGTCCACGGAATCCTTCATCCTGTTTAACAATACTCTGTTGAAGACTTTTCCTGGTATTGAGAGGAGAGTGATGCCCCTGTAGTTGTCGCACTTGCTCAGATCACCTTTCTTTGGTATTTTGATCAGAAGTCCTTTTTTCCAGTCTATTGGAACATGTTCTTCATCCCCAATCTTACTGAAGAGGATGTGTAGTATCTTGGCAGTTGCTGTTATATTTGCTTTCAGTGCCTCTGCCGGGATGTTTTCTGGTCCTGCTGCTTTGCCGCTCTTGATTTGTCTAATGGCCATGCTGATCTCTCCAATTGTTGGTGGGCCAACATCGATTGGGAGGTCCGTGGGTGCTGCTTCGATGTTGGATGGGTTCAGTGGAGCTGGTCGATTCAAGAGTTCTTTGAAGTGTTCTACCCACCTGTTTCGTTGTTCTTCAATGTCGGTGATTACTTTGCCTTCCTTGTTTTTCACTGGTCTTTCTGGCTTACGGTAATTTGCAGCAAGTTTCTTGGTTGTATCATACAGTTGAAGGAGGCTTTGATGATCCTTGGTCCATGAGATTCCCATCCAATAAGTGCATTTTGTGCTTTTCTGGACAGCATCAATGCAACTCCTTGTGTATGTGGGGCATTTTCTTCTTCATGACCGGAGTATAACAGAAGTTCTCCTGAAGACAGTCGTTGTTGTCCAACCTGCGTACAATGTGTTTCGCTGATTCCAAGAACCTGCAGGTTGTATTTTCTCATTTCTGCAGCAATTTGAAAGACTGTTCCGGTTTCTCACATTGTTCGGACATTCCATGTACCTATAAAAACTGTCGCTCTGGTTGTAAGGAGGTGCATCGGCCTCATGACTTCCGAAGGAACTCGGCTTTCATCATGAGACGTCATAATTATTCCTTCAACTCGGAGGACAGAGTTTGAATGGTTTGAATGATTTTTTCTGGTTAGCGTTTTTTTAGCGAGTTGATTTTCTACGGGATGGGGTCGCTAACCCCATGCCCAACCCTCCTCCTTTACCCGAGCTTGGGACCGGCAGTAACCCCCAGAGGAGCTACACGCGGAGTTAGCATTTAAAATACCAGCCTCAATAATTATCGTACGCCTAAAAAAGATTTATGAACTACGAATAAGAGAAAAGCAGTCTGGCTTGAGACCTAGTCTTGGCTGTATCGATCACATATTCACTATTCGTCAGGCTTTAGAAAACAAACATGCTTATCGGTGTCAGACAATGATAGTTTTTCTTGACTTAAAAGCAGCATTTGACTCTGTAAACCGAGAGGTTCTGTGGCAGTGTCTGTCATTGAAAGGTGTACCTGAGAAGTACATAAACCTTGTGAAGGCCCTTTATTCGAACACTACTAGTTAAGTTTAGCTTATGCGAACTGTCATCTGATTTTACAACCTTAAATGATGTCCAGCAAGACTATCCATTATCTCCATTTTGTTCAATTTCAACATAGACCCATTGCTGGAAATAACATTTTCAGGGATTGGTTTCTTACTTGGAGATCCACTTATCGACTTAGAATACGTAGATGACATAGTTCTGTTTGGTGAAGACGCTGATAAAATTCAGTCTTTTGGCAACACTGAGAAACAATGCAAAGATATTTGGGATGCGTTTCTCTCCTCTAAATGCAAATTGTTGCTCCAGGACTGACCTGAACTAAGGATAGGAAGTAATGTAGCCGAATGCGTCGACAACTTCACCTATTGTGGAAGTCTAATCAGCCCTAGTGGGTTGGTGTCTGACGAAATATCAGCACGGATTCCAAAAATTCGTTTGGCTTTTGCCAACTTACGTCACCTATGGCGAAGGCGAGATATCCGTCTATCAATAAAAGGATGGGTATACTGCGCGACCAGTGTGACTGTCTTAACCAGTGGTTGGAGACTCGGTGTGACATGGCTCGGAACCGACCATAATGTCGTAGGTTCATACACGTTTTTTTACTTAAACCGTAAGTTTAAGATTACTTTATACTTTTTTTTCTATAAGCTAATTATTTCCCCCTGTATTGTATCCTTATATAAAGCGTTTGTTTTACTTCCATTGAAGTAACTACTTCTACGTATTTAGTGTTCATCTTGTGGCGCTAATGAGGCATAGCGACTTGAACTGATGCACATATGATCCTGGTCCTACTCTGTAGCTGACATGACATGACTTAGAAATTCATGGATTAAATTTTGACGTAGAACAGTGTAAAATAAGTTTCAAGTAACAATCACTTGTCTGACACGTCTTTTTTACCTGTCTGACTTTTTATGCTTGATGGGATTGCATTGTGACGTAATTTTTCTCTGTTTTTATTACTTTTAATTTCTTTTCCTACTATTCTAGGTATCGTTGGAAGTGTAGTACTTGTCTTACTATTGCTAATTTTACTTATTCTATTCTGTATTTATCGTTTACGTAAAAAAGATGAAGGATCTTATGCTTTGGATGAACCGAAAAAATTACCTACCGTTGATACTTATACAAGAGCACCAACAAGAGAATTTTATGCTTAAAAAAAGTATAACTTGGAAAAATAAGTTTCATAAATTGTATATTCATTTTCCAGTCTTACGAATCTCTATACATAAATTAAACATAAAGTATGTATGCTACTCTTCTTTCCGTTTATCAAATAAATATACATATAATATTGATTTTACCAATTAGGTATCTAATTATTAAATGTAAGCTAATATGTTATATTATCCATGGGCAAATGCATTTACTTTTGTTACGTTTAAAGGTGAAGGGAGGGTTGTTTTTTTTTCTGCTGACTTTTTTTACACAAATTAATATTATTGATTTTTGTAATTGTGTATAGTTTGAGCTGACGACTAAAATTCTTTTTTTTTTAAGTCTTCTATTTTAAACATGAAAGTAGACTGTATAGTAGTAAATAAATGCCTGTAATACACTTTTTAAAATACTACCTTACCCGCTCCAATTATTATTTTATCAGTTTTCATTTTGCTCCTAGTAAGTGCAATATTACAATTATTATTATTATCATTATTATTAATAATATGTGAATGCAGAATATGTATAAAAGTCTTCTGAAAGATACGCATAATCAACTCATACTACTATTACTAATAGTAGTTGTATTTACCTTACAACCATGTCTTTTTCTTCGTTGAATTAGCGGTATCTTATTTGATCTTTTTCTAATATACTCCACCTTAATTTGTATATTTCTCTCTCTCTCTCCCTCTCGCAATCTAATTCGTATTGTTATTATATTGAAATATAATGAAAATTGTATAATAGTTTTACTGATTAGTATGTTTTTGTAAACCTTCGATTGACTGAATGTCTATTGCGTTATATTCTCCCAATGTTATGTAGATTCATGTATTTAAGTGTTACTATTATTTCTGTCTTTTCTTACCTTTTCCATGAAAACGAATTCGTTGAAAGTAGTCTACTTGTTCATTTTGCTAACATCCTTCATATTTCATGTCACTGTCATTTGTGAATATTTTGTATGTCATTAGTTTTCACAACAAAATATTCTTTTTTAAACGTGCAACAAGACATTGCGAATTTAATTTTTCCTAGAAAAGTTTGTAGTCTTAATCTACCTTGTTTTTTTCGTTTAGTTTGTATTCAACATGCTTATATATATCTATTGGAATAGAACTAATAACTAATTTAATAAAATGCATTCATTCTTTTACTTACGATTTTTTAAATCATGCTGAAAAGTATACCGAATATCCAAGTTCTTACATCTTATATTAGCATAGTGATCGACGAAATTGACAGAGATGGATGTTGTCGAGATCACGAGCTGGTTGTCAAACACAGGCTGGTTCATGATCCCAACGATTTTTATAAAACCCTTATACGTGTGGTGAAAATAATATTATCAATTACAACGGAAATTCAAATCAGAAAAAAAAACAATCCAAAGAGAATACGAATAGCATCAAAAGACAAAAGGTTTAGGATGATGCTAGTAGCCAACCTAACATCCCTCACAGTCATGAAGTAATATAAAGCGAATCGTGGTAGCTGTATCCTTGCTCCTATTTATACGCGTATATCGTATGCACAACAGATTAAACAAGTCAGTAAAAGCCAAACAGGCACCTGAGATTTTTTTTCGCCAATATCCTCGACTAAGTGACTCCTCATAGACTGGGCACACCACTAATGAGGCTGCAGTAATTTTAGAAGTCGTTTCATTTCAATGATATAATGTACGATCTGCTACATATTTCGGAACAATCTATTCGGTTTCTGTCTTTATTAATATCTAAATTTTTTATGCGAACAGGATTTAGATTTATGGGTCGATTGTCTTTTGGTGTATTGGTAATCGTTACTTTTTTTCTAAATCTCTGTCGCTCCAAGTGGGTACAATATCATCAGGAATGGAACTTACAATGACCAAGATATTTTCATAACCTGTTTTTACGTTCAATTTGGAAATTTGATATCTTTAGCGTTATTCAATGTGAAATAATTCATTCAGTTGATGAGACCACTTTTTCTTGAATTTTGACGGTGACATATTGAAAATGTTTTCTGAAATAACCAAAGGATTTATTGTTATATCTTGTACCCACTTATTAGAGAGCAGTGAATTATCGACCGGACCAATGACACACAAAACCCGTATGAGCAGTCTAGAGTGCTCATCGGTCCTGCTTTCTGCCTACCCCGGTCAGTTTAGTTCAAAACATCAATCTCACCCTGTCTAATATGAATCATTTATTTCAAACATACTGGGTTTATGTACCAATCAAACAGACCACATCGTACCATAAATTAGAAAATAACATTTGTACAAGATTCAGACAAATGTGGGAGGCAGCAATTAATAGATAACTCAGGAATGGTAAATCGCATAACAATAGTCTGAGTCAAAATAAAGCTTATAATAAAAGGGACGCGAATATTCATAGTTTAGTTAGTTATCAATTATACAATAAAAATATACACATAGTACTAATCCATAAACGGATCCCAAAGTTACCGTTCACGATTCTTATCGGGACATAACACTTTTTTGAGAGAGATCCGGAATTTAAATTTCACGAGTTTATCCTCCCCCACGAAATATTGTTGGATCCTCATATACCCAAGTGACCATTAATGTGACATTATTTAAAACATATTTGTCGCATTTAACTAACAATCCACTAGAACTGGATCGTGAGGGTCGACGACATTTAATTTAAAGTGTTTGATTCTTCTGAAACAGTTTCCTTGAATTTATTATGAATCTCATTAGTAGATAATGAATCATTGGGATAGTCAGTATCTATGAAAAGTGTATTAGATTCTTGATTATCATTCAATGCATCCGACATTTTTCTCCCATTTTCATAAGAACTTTCACCAGGCACATGTGAATCATCGAAATAATCGATATCTGGCAAAACAATTAGGGCATCTCGATAATTAAATTCATTAGAAACTTTAGTCGCAGAATGACCAACTCCATTTGGTGCAACTGTATTCACTGTAGTGCTCGATTTGTTTCTTTATGGGCGGGTATTGCAGCAATTTCATGTGCGTTAAACAAAACTCTGTGTTTTTGTGAGCTGGACAATTCACTGTTTGCACATTCTGTTTCGGAGATAATAGGATTTGAACCAACTATAGGTCATGTCTCTGAAACGGACAGTACTGGGCCGATCATGTATGACTGCTACAGTTTCGCTTAAATTACTGTTTTTCATGGAGGCTTTCACCGGCACATTCATTTATTCTGCAATCACTTTCCAGCTCTATACGCAACTTAGAAATTAATTCGTTGACTTCCGTCACATCCCCAAAGCATGGGGATATATATAGTTATTTTTCTACAAAATATTCGGCCAATGAATAATATAATTATAGGTTACTTATCAGACAAGAAAACCTAACTAATCTATGAGGACAAAGTGATTAATGAAACAATCAATCATTATTCCCATTTATTCAGAAGAGTTGGTTCAAAAATATCACATTCGAATTCTGAGGTGGTAAAATTTCTGGTTTCATAGGTTAATAAATTAATCTATTGAACTTCCCAATTCAAAGAACAAACAAATAACATTTTCCAGTTCATTTAAATAATGAATCATTCTAATGTATTAACTTGTTTTCACTATCGAATGACTGATTTCAATTGCTCAATAAACACGAAGTAATCATAACAGCATATGATTGAACAATAATCAATTAAAATATTCGAAAATCTTGTTTCTAAATCTAGTTTGTTTTAAATTCACTTGGTATTGTTTACTTGTATCTTCCCGTTGTTCTTTAGGACTGCAATCGATTTGTCTTTTGTTGACATATGTGCATCTTTTGCGAACTGCCTCGATATTGCCTCAGGTCAATGCGCACAGTATTCACATATGCTAACAAGAGACTAATCAGTTGCAGTCCTAAACATCAATGGGAAGATTCAAGTAAACAATACCAAGTGAATTTAAACTTTACCCCATTGCACAAGCAAGTGGCTATCAGGACATAGTGGCTATGTGAATAACGTGTTGGTATTTGAAGCGAACGGTAATGGGGTTCGAGTCCCAGAGTGAACATCAACTCTGAGATGCAGGTACATCTACCTGATTAGTCTCAAATACTACGAGACACGTGTCCTGAATTACACTTCTAGCAACTATCCATCATTGCTTATAATAATATTTTGTTTTGTTTACCACTTTTTCTGTTTGGATGAAAAGAAGAAAAAGAAAGTTGAATACCCTCTAAAGTTTAAGTAAATTATAATAAACAGGATAATGGGTTCACATGATAACGATTGACGTAAATTATATTTTCCGTTAAAAGTTTATTGCTTCTTAACTAATCCTAAGAAAAATATATTTCCTTCTTGTATGTTATTGTTGTTTTCGTTGTCTATCAAATGATTATACTTTCAACTTGTGTACAGTTAGCATACATAGGTAGACTTGGTTATTTGTTTTCTATCATAGATTATCTAATCAATTTACTATTTAAGTATAAAAAGGCATTGTTAATAACGTCTTATCATATTATGATAAGTTTTAATGTAATTCAATTCTCTACTTATGATATTTTAAAACAACATATATAAGCGAACAATATTGTTTTCGATTAGATCCTCATCATGCTTTACTTTTATATACAGTAATATTTATATGCATATATGAAATTATTAAACCAATCAAGGCAGTTTATGAGTCGATGATAACAGTGGATTACATAACAGTAGATTACATAAATAAACGTGATATGTGAAAAGTACGAATTGGTAGTGTTATGATAAGTGTACTAGATGTGGTAAGAATAATGAAGACTTAAATCGACGTTACATAATGGGAAATAGGTCAATGATTGGAAAAATATGAACACTGAAATAACTTTCATAAAATTATAAGATTACATAATAAGAAGTGCTCAGATAACTGAACTGTGAAACGTACATTTGAGAAAAAACAGAAAATAGTGGAAGGGTGTGAAGAAAAATAAACGAAGATAGAGTATGGAAAATAAAATCACTTATTAAGGCCAAGGGAGAGATAGGGGTGTT